TCTTTCCAATAATGAAGATGTTGATTTTATTCCTCATCTTTTGTTGAGGATAGCAAGTCTACAGACAAACTTCTCCTGCTTAAGAGTAAATAGATGACAGTGGTAAATATATGATTTCTTGCTAAGGTAGACCACATTTGCTTTGCTCCATGATTGATTTGTCCATTCTTCAATAAATTCTTCTGCACAAGCTTTCAAATGAGACTGCATCTTGTCTGGTCTCCTTGTGGGTATTTTCCAGCTGCATTATTTAGAAGATTAAAACAAACAAACAAACAAACAAAAACCAAACAAACAAACAAAAAAAGCCATTCTCAAGTTACTCCGCTAAACTGGAAAACAAATTCACTATTCTGTTTTTGCAAAACCATCTCATGCAGGTTTAGGCTTACATCATTTGCTGAGCTAGCATAAACTATACTACACAAACAGGTGCAATTAGGATTGATATTCCCAAAGTGTTTCCCAGAGTAGAAATATTCTCAGATTCTTTCTGATAAAGGTAACTTCTTAGCTCTGCGAACATTTTTGGAGATTTGATATTGAGAAGTCCTCATATTTTGATGGTAATTCAATACACTTAGTTCTTGTACATATGACATACTGCAACCACCACAGCACATTTTTCCAAGCAGTGGTTGTATGGTTAAGAAATCATCTAAATATTAGTTTTTACAGGTAACATCACCCCTACAACTTCCTTTATAGTTTATCTGCTTGTCTGAGGTCTGGATTTACACTGCTGAGATGTTCATAGAACGGTGGGTCTTGGCAGATGTTAACAGACCCTCAGTCCTAGGAGGAGCTTCTTAGGGGAAAATGAAAAAGCTGAGGGCATATCCAGTCCCTAAAATGAGTGACTGTGGACCTGTGTGTATACAGGTACAATAAGAACAAGAACTTCAGCACTGATTCCCATTCAGGACGTAGAGTTGAGAGAGAGCAAATGTAGCAGGCAGCAGAGTGGTGGAAGAAGAAATGCTGTGAACCACAAACTGCACAATGTCCCTTGCAGCTTTGCCTAGGGCCAGGGAAGAGATCAAATGCTAAACTAGGCTAGTGGTAGGAGACAGCAAAGCAGGAGACATTGCCAAATAGAAACCACAAGCAGAAAGTTACGGTGTGGGAGCTGAATAGGCAGGCACGCCAACCTGGAGTCACAGGAAGTCCCTTTGAAGTTATTTCTTTAAACAGGGCAATGCAAATCAGAGATGCCACTTGCAACAAGAATTCCTAGAAGACGCAGGTGTCCAACCAGTGCTGGGCCAGCATTTCTCTGACAGCATCCCTGGGCAGAAAGAAAAGTTAGCCAGAGCCGTGAACAGCAGCCTGGTTTGCTCCCGTGGAAGAGACAATGCTGCTCCCAGATGGACTAACCTGTTAACTCTAAAGCCAGCTTTTTACAGGGTGAGCCACCAGGTGTAGGTCACCAGGATCAAAGAGCTTGTGGATTCATGAGGAGAAGTGCTGAGACACTATGAAGCCTGGCTGACTGTTCACAGGTGTGGCAGAAATCCCAGCACAGTAACAGGGGCTCACTGGCTCTTGGAGCACATGTCCATGGCATTGCACTTCCAGCACCCACCCCTCTGCTTTGCAGCAGTTCCATTCTTGCCCTTCCCTGCTCTCCACACTCTTGGGTGCAGCCTGGGAGCACTGAACATGCACTGAGCTTTAGATGGCAGCTCAGGCGAGGAGGTGTTTTCATAGTGCTGGGTGGCACAGGTCAGCTAATGCATCCCCTGGATGATCCCTGCTGTGCCCTCTCCTCTCAGGAGAAGGAAATTGCAGCTGCCAGGAGGCAGGTGTTATCTTCCCAGTGGGTTGTCATGACCATGACAGGTTTGGATGACTGTGCTCCATGAAGGCTCAGAGAACCTTCTCCCAGGATGCCCTTCTCCATCCATCTTGCATTGAAATAAGAGTGGAAATCTGAGGATATTAACGCTGACATGGGAGAGGTGGAAGGCCCAATTTTCTGCCCACAGCAGAAAACAACCCAAGCAACAAAAACACTTCATGTTCTTCTAAGTTTTTTCCTGCATTCAACCACCTGTGGTGATGGCAAATCACCCAGAACCATGGCTGTGCCCTGAAGGGGAGAGGACAGCCAGCCTCTGGTAGGAACCAAGCGGGAGGCAGGAAGGAGGGCTGCAGTGATGACAGCTGCCTTGGCAAAGCAGCCACGGCTGTCCTTCAGTGGGCAGGACATTCAAGGACAGCCTGGAGCTGGGCCAGGAGGCACCAGCAGCCTCTGTGAGTCTGTCTTGGCTCAAAGCAGGAGTGACAAGGGCAAGGGTGGAGGGCACCTCCTCAGCACCCACCTCGGCCTCTGCAGCCCATCTTCCCCGCACCTCCTCCTTCGGGGGGGCTGCAGGAGGTGCTGCAGGAGATGCTGGGGAACTGTGCTGAGACCCACACGGAGCACCATGACTCATGTCTGTCCCACCTATTTTAAAGGTCTGTGCTGGAATATAGCACCACGTCCTTGTCATATTTATTGGATGAGTTCTGCTTTGCGTGGTCGCTGTTTTGCTGTGGGTTTCCCTCTGTAGCTCTGAGTGGAAAACGAAGATGGCGCAAGAGGGAGACCAAGGCAGCGTGTGGGCTCAGACTGCCAGCAGCCACAGGCCTCCATCCTGGGACAGGGGATGTTGCAGGAAAAAATGAGTTAGTGCCTTCAGGCTGAAATGTGGGAGCAAGCAGCTTTTGGCTTCTTGGAGGCGATATAATGCACGGCAGGATGACACCGATGGCCTTGGCTCTATCCAATGCCCTCCATCCCCTGCTCCCTCCTGCTCTCACTAATCACATGCAGAATTCAGCAAGGAAAATGGATCGTGGTGAGGAAGCAGGGATCAAATGTGGTGCAGACACTGAGCAGAGACAAACACAGTTCCCTTGATCACCTGGCTGCTGCCTGGGCATTAACTGAGGCATCCTGATGCTGACTGAGGTTGCCAGTCAGGAAATCAGTACAGGCAGGGACAAACACCAGGAGAGGTGTGAGTGTAGCCCTGATGACCCAAAAATTCCCTGCCCCCCACTAGGCCAGGCCAGCTACAGTTCCTCTAACCCTGCACAGACAAGCAGCACTGCAAATGTACATGCATGGCTGGGAGGCTGAGCTCTGCCTGCTGAGCCTTACGGGGATGAGTAGGACATGAGGCAGAGAGTTTAAGCTTCTCTAAGAGGCTGGACTTTCTTTTGTTCCCTGTCCCAGATGTACTGCTGCAGCCACCAGTGAGTCCACAGGCTGCCAAAGAGTGAAGGTGACTGTGGTTGGACATGGAGATGAAGGGGAGATGCAGAAGGTGCTCCAGAAAATCTCAAATCTTTGTTACTGTCTTCATTGATGAAAAATTGGTAGATTTGGAAAAACGTAGTACAGCTTAAAGCAAAAAATACCTAGCATGGGTATGTTGAGGAATAGAGAGGACTGAGGAAGATAAAGGTGACAATGTTTTTCAGGAGGTGTAGAAACACTTTATTTTATTTGAAGTGTTGTGCTCCAAGTTGGTTCAAATAAAATGCCGGTTAAAAGGCCAAGTTTTATTTCTGTTTCTTTGAGGGAGTATAGACTTCAGGGCACTTAAAGATTTTATCTTTTTAATTCTTGTTTGGTTTTGTGGTGTTTTTCCCACTAAACTCTAAGGGGGGAGAGAGCATGTGCTCCTACTGAACTCAGATTGCATTTTTAAGGGGTAAGTGGAAAGAACCTGTGAGCAGACCTGCTTTAAAGGCCAGGGTGTAAATGCAATCAAAGGTTGAGAACAGACACCACCTTTGGTGGCCCAAACTCGACCTTCCACATAATAAACTGAAGCTGCAGGGATCCTGGATTCAAACATCTCTCTTTCAGGTTGCCGCCTAGCAGGGCAAAAGTCAGAGCAACACACCCTGATCCCAACGGGCAAACAGCGCTGCGCCGGGCCCTGCTCCTCCCTCTGCCAAGGCAGCTGAGGTGTGGAAGGCACACAGGCCACGCTGATGTGCACTTTCAGAGGGACAGGAATTCAGGCAAAAGAGCCTCTTACGGGCAAAGCGTTGCTGGTACCAGCAGTGCTAGGTCTATTTTTAATGATTTGGGAATGGAGGATGCTTTCAGCAATACATAATTAATACAAGTGCGCTTCTGTTGTCTGCCGAGAGGGTGGGAAGGCCCTGGCTAACTTCTGAGGCTGTGAAAGGAAAAAGAAAAGGTTGAATGAATCATAATGTAATCAATCAGTGGAAATTAGGTAGGAGCTAAATGAAAGTTGCTGAGAATAATTTATTCTGATCAAAACTCTGTGGCTGGGCTCTGTTTCTGAAGATGGCCATGCTTTGTGGTGCAGTGGAAGGAGCCCCCCTGTCACTCTGCCCTTGGGAGAATATTCCTCTTGCTATGACCCTGAACCTGATATATCCTTACTCTTAAAAAACCCAAGAGGTTGTTGTCTGAAACTGTTTCAAATTAAAAAATGAAACAACCCAACCAGTGGTTCCTCCTAAGGTGGAGTGGAGGAATTTCCTTGAAGCACATTCCCATCTTTCCTTGGAAATAAAATTACCACAAGTCATCATGAGGCAAGCTTCAGCCATATCCTTCAGCAGGTGTGGAAACCTTGGGAAAGTGATTGAACTTTTTTTTTTTCTTTTTTTTTTGCAGTGGAAGATCAGCTCTGAAACAAGACATGTGGCTTCCCGGGGTCCTTCCCCTTTATGATGTTGTAAAACTGCAAGAGTGTGCAGGGCTGTCCAAGCCCGGGGAGCAAACAGCAGAGCTCTTACCCTGGAAAGCTGAAAGCACTAGTGGACGGCAATGAACTACAAGGCAGGGCTTCATTTTTGTCAAGAGGATTAAAAAAACAAAACAAAACAAAACAAAACAAAAAAAAAAAAAAAAAAACCAAAAAAAAAAAACAAAAAAAAAAAGTATCTATATGTTTAAGTAAAGAAGGTGAGGAAAGGGAACTAAAAGGACGGCTTATGCACTTCTATTTTAAAATTTTTTAAATTTAGAAAGTACGATATTTCTGGGGGGAAAGGGGAACTTTTCCGAGGCGGCGCGGACGCTCGGGGCGGGACGCGGAGCCCAGCAGCCGCTCCCAGCCCGCACGGCCCCCGCGGGCGCGGGGCGGCGGCGGCGCTGCCAGAGGCGGTGCCGGCGGCGGGGAAGGGCGGGAGCGAGGGAAGGCGGCCGGGAAGGAGGCGGCGCGGCGGCGGGGGGCCGTGCTTGCTCGCGGTTGCCATGGGGAGCGGGAGGGCGGTGCCGCCGCCGCTGCGCAGGGAGCAGCTGCTCCCTGACACATCCCCCCGCTGCCATATTGTGTCCGCCGCCGGCCGCGCGGCTTCATGACCGCGGTGAGTGCCGCCCGCGCCCGCCGCCCCCGCGCCCCCACGCCTGCCTGCGCTGCCCCCGCGCCTTTCTTGGGTTTAGCTCTCGGCTTTTCCCTGGGTTTGGGGGGTGAGTTTTTTTTGTTTCCGACGCTCCGCGGGGGGGGCGGTGTGACCGGTGTCCCCTCATTCCCCGCGTGGGGACAAGGCGCGGAGGCGGCGCTTCCTCCCCGGCCGCTCTCGGTGGCGGTGCGTGGGAGCGGGGGGGTCCCCGCGCACCCCCGCCCCGCGGGGCCGTGCACCCGCAGCTCCTCCTCCCGGCGCGGCTCCGCGGAGCTTCCGCCCGCGGGGTGTACGCGGGTGAGCCGCCCTCCCTTCACCCGCTCCCCCGGCAGGGCAAGCCCGCGCTCCTTGCGCGCTTCCAGCCGCGCTGATGGAAAACGCGGCCGGCCCGGCACCTGGGAGCGCGGCCCCGACGCGCCCCTCCCCTCCGGGTCACCCCCGTCAGACTCAGGCGCTTCATTTGGTGAAATAAAGGCGCTTTCGGCCTCGTTCCGCAGCGCCCCGTTGTCCCCGGAGCGGCGGGAAGCCCCCAGGGATGTGCAGAGCGTCTGTGGCTTGCCGAGGTGGGGGCAGTGTGGGAGAGGCTCTCCGGGGTTCCCGCGTTTTGGGGTAAAATCCAGGAAACTGCTGGCGGAGTGCTCGAGGTCAGGCTGGGATCTGCACGTGGCCCTTCGGAGTTTTCCATCTTTTTCGCGATTTTTTGGTGAAGTTGGGCGATGAGTTGGTGGCGGCGGCGGAGCAGCATCCCACTGCCTTCCTGCCTTACTCCTGCTTGGACACACCGGCGTGCTTGGTGCTCAGGTTCTGTGGGAGCGGAAGCTGGCTTTTGTTGGTAAGGGTTTGGATTGTGACAAGGCCCAAACAAAGAGTAAAAGGAACAAAGAAATAAAATAAACCTTGAAGAAGACCCGATAAACTCATGTTCCCGCCGTGGTGCCTGCCTGTGGATGGATGCTGTGTTCTAAATGTGGAGTTAAACATGCTGAATTATAGTAGACTTAAATGCTGAGGAAACAATTTGATTAGCTTTGTGCCTAATCTACCAAATCAAGATAACTTTATATATAATTTACCGTGTATATGTGTGTATATATGCACACAGACACTCTCCAAATCCTGTTATTGCTGGGCTTACATTTAGACAAATTTAGTAATAGGTGGGTTGTAATATATTGACATGTGAATCATTTAACTTCAGTTGTGTTTCTTGGATTGGGGTCTTTTTTCCCCTCCTTAAAGTCTGGTGTGATGCTACATCTATGCAAGAAAAATTCAGCTGGCATTATCTTATGTCAGGAAACTTGAAGTAGTTTGAAGGTTGCTGGTTTTTTTTTTTTTTTATCCTTGGCAGGTGCCTGCTCACATTTCCCAAGCTCTACAGAAGGTAGTTGGACACGAGTCTGAACTGAAAGCTGTGTAGCAGCAATTAGTGCAGCACAGGGCTCGAGCTGATGGACTTAGCCGGGTGCCAGGGTGTGTTATCTCTGAGCTCAAGCCACACCGCTGCAGCAGATCAGCTTCTGCTGGGGGCTCACTTGTGTCCAGCTGTGCCACTTAACTTTTGTAGAAGTAGAGAGGAGGTGGTGATTCTCACTTTGTGTGTTTGAGTTGCCTGAAATACGTATAGGAACTTTTCTGTGCTTTTTAGTATGTTTTGTTTGTTATCAGATGTGCCCATAAACGGAGCAGTGCTGCCGTGCACGGTGTCCACACTTGCAGACTGGTGGAGATGCTGCGTTGGCTGCCCTGCAGTCCTGAAGGGAGCTGGAGGCACTGGCCCTGTATCAATCCAGGCATGTGGCCCTGAGCACTCTCAGGGACCTTGCTGGAATAAAACATGGTTGATGGCTTTGTTGGGAGTGTTTAGACCAGAGGATGAAGTTGTGACCTGCTTTGGGTACTGCTGCTGGGGCTGTGCTGAAGGACCTCCTCAGGGATTTTTCAGCCCAGAAGTAAGATACTTTTTGTCTAAAAGGGACACCAGTTAAGGAGTGTGCTGCCTCAACAGCTCCAGCCCCCACAGAATTTCTGCTTGAGGAGCCTTTCAGTGTCCTCTAGAGAGCTTGCGATTGAAGGCACCAGCATTGCCAGCAACTCCCTGTGTCAGGACATGCCAGTCCAGTAAGTAATGGAGCAGATAGAAGTGTGTGCAATGGTCCTGCTGAACGAGAAGTACTGCCTGGCAAGTGAATGGAGTGCTTTGGAAACAAGACAGAGGCCGAGGGACATAGCAGGCTGATTTTTGCCATCTTTATTAACCACAGCCTCTGTTCCACTCAGTGCAATAGACTTGAAAACCTGACATGTTGAACAAAAGCAAACTCTCCTGGTGAATGAGATAGTTTGGCATGTGAAGATGCTGTACATGGGTATGGTTCAAACTGGCGAGAAAGCCATGTGGTCTCGTGCGGAGTTGTTGGTTCCCATAACTGCAGCAGAAGTTTTCATGTTGGTTTCACTGTGGTTTTAATTCCACCTTCCTGCTCTGCCATCTCTCCTTGCCTACTCATTGTTGGGGTTAAAAGGAGCTGGTATTTACAAGAGGAAGTACCCCAGGCTCTCAGAAGACTTTTCCATGTGCAGGTTTGTGATACCTTATCAGAAAGAGCTACACAGAGGGATTATAGCCAGTGAGGTGGCAGAAAGGATGGGCGTTGGGAGGAATGATAGTGTGCCCACAGCCACTGATGCCATGCATCTCTTGATGCTGTGCCCTGCTTTGGGACAGTCTTGCTGCACTGCTGTGGTGCAAAACAAGCTGTGTGAAACACAGCTTTCCTTGCCTGGATGGATGGAAATGGATGGAAAGCAGCCTCTAGTCCCATAAGTAAATGGCTGTCAGCAGTCTTGATGAATGCTCACGACCTTTTAGCAACTTCTGGGTTATTCCCTTTGGCTCCTTGAGCATTTACCATTCCTCCCTTCCTGGTAAATGAGTGCATTTTGTGTAAGCCTATCTGTAGGATGTCACTGCACTGGTGGTAACTTTTCCTGAGGGAAGTGGATGAAGGCAGAGGGGGCCTCATCCCAGTGTGTGTGTGTTGCTGCTCCACCACTGAAATGGTGTTGGGCAACTTCCTGCAGCTCGGGGTGACTCACAGCGCTCTGCTCTCGACAAGTGCTCGCTTGCAAACCCTGTCCACATGGGGAGGCTCCCTGTGGCTGCATCTGGGGTGTCTCCAGATCCAGTGGCTGCCAGAGAGGACACAAGAGACCCCTGGCATGCTGCTTCACTTTTTTCCTGGCTCGATCTTTATGTGTGATAGGTGTGTGTTTGTTCCCTGTCACGTTGCACCTGATGATTTGGTGATCCCACCCATGGGTGATGGTGAGTGCTCCATCTCATCCTCACCATGCTGTGTAAAGGCACCAGTTCCATGAGCTCTCCATCTCATCCTCATCATGCTGCGTAAAGGCACACAGTGATGTTCCGTGGTGCTTGCAAAATACAATTTAGGTCAGCAAGAAGAGACAGCTCACAGTGCTTGGGTAATAAATTACATGGAATGGAAGAAGCCTGATGCCAGCCAGGATCTTTATGACCCCTGGTACTCTGCCTGCTCCCTGTAAAACATTATGGCCGTGGGAGCACGAGGGTTGGGTCACTCCGGGCTGCGAGGAGGCTGTTGAGTGCTCAGTGCTGGCCTGTATGGTCAGCAGCTGGGAAACATGGCAGCTGTGTTTGGGGCAGGAATACCCATTTTATTGAATGGTTGCACCAGGACCATTTTAAGAGAAGCCTGTAATTTGCGCAAATGGGAATACTTGTACTGAAAGTCAGTGATGTGGATTTTGACTGGTTTTTTTTCTGAGTGCGTTCAAAATGTTTTCCTGTTATGTTCAGACTAGACTTAGTGCTCCCTACTTTTTCCTCAAGGGTTGGAGAATGTTAGGGACTCCGTGAAATTGTCTGCTGCATGCATCATCACCCACCCCTACTCTTCTGCACGCTCAGTCTTTGTGTCTTCTCTCAGATTATTTTCAGTGCATTCCTATCTTGCAGTTTGTCACTACTTTTAGTTTCCCAGTTTAAGTGTGGTCCTGTACTTTATTTCTTTCAGCAGTGTCACTGGGTTTTGTTGTGCATAGATTTGGGGCAAGTACATGGTTGCCTAAAATCTGAGTACTGGATATGAAGAGAGCTCAGCATCTGGAAAAGTTTCATGAAGTAGAGCTGAAGGAGTGGGAGCTGGAAGCTTCCTGCTAAGCTTCTCACTCATCCCTCTTCCTCTGGTGTGTGAGGATCATCCCCAGACCAGTTATCAGCCAGTTTGGTTTGGTTTAGGGATGTCGAGTAGTCAAAAGTAGGAGGGTTTTTTGTTTGCTTTCTTCTTTGTTTAAACAGAAAGCCAAATTCCACACTGGTGGAATAAAATTAAAAGCAAGTTGGCCAGGGAGGTCAGCACAGTGAAGAGCATTGCTTTGCCTTCCCTGGGCTCTGGAGGAAATCTTGCAATTTAGGAGCAGGAGCTGGGAAGCAGCAAGTGGGGACAGCTTTGCAGTCACCGGGTTGTGTTGGTGATGTGGTTTTGTGATACAGCTCCAGTGGTGCTTTCCAGTTAAGTCTTGCAGAAGGGTTACTAGGGGTGAAGCTTCAAGTTGTTGGTTTTCCACTGGAAATCAGGAGTTTTGGTACTTTAAAGGCAGAAAAGCTGTATGGAAAAGATAGCTTTATATTTTCTAGCATTGGTAAATTGGTACTGACACCAGCTGAAATGTAGCTACGTTCACTTGAGTTTCAAGAGGATGGTAGGGAAACACACTGTAAGGTTACCCTGGAAAGCGAATTAGCATCAGAATTATTTTACAAGTCATTTGCTCAAATGGCTCACTTGTGAACATATCAGTGGTTTACATTTTTTTTTTGCATTTTGGTCCACTTAGCAAGCTCAGTATTGAATTTGAGGAAAATGACCCATAAGCATCTCTTGAAAAGCTATTGGCTGTAAAGCATTTTTCTTGAAAGCACTTATTTCCCTCCCCTCCCCTTTTTGTGTCTCACCAAAGGTTTTTCTTAGTAGTTAAATTTCACTGATTGTTTGGGTTTCTTTTTTTTTTTTAATATTATTTGCATCTCCCAATTTCTCTGTTAGACTGTTATTATGTGCATGTTTTAAATCTGAGGCACGGGGAACCAGGTCCAACAGTGACTGCAGCCTTTGGAAAAGCTTCACATTTGCAAAGTCTCTGAAGGCAGCAGTGGAATAAATGTCCCAGAGGCTCTGGGTCGTGTACAGGGTCTGGATTGGGGTCAGGGCATGTCTGAATTCACATATCATTTTTCCTTCAGATATTTGTTTCAAACACAAACCACTTATGTGTGTATTTAATAAAAAAAAAATGCAAACTTCTATGTAAAAAAGTTAGATGAACTCTTCCTCTTACTCCCTGCCCTTTCCTGGGCTATGATAAGGGTTTGTTTAATCTCTTCCCTATTGCAGGATTTCTTAACTTTTCTTAATTTTGGACCTTTGAATTGGTTTTTGTTACTTTTTTCTCCCACCCTGCCTTTAATTATATCACAGGGTGTGGGAGAACATTGACATGAGAGACTTGGAAGTATTTCTGCAAATCCCTGGAAAACCTCTCTTCCCCTTTGAGCCCGCCATTGCCAAGGTTCAACTGAAGCCCTGCTTATGGCTTGTCCAGTCCTTTGGTTTTATTTTCAGGCTGGATTTGAGAAGGTGATAAGTGCTTTTTTAATGTTCTTGAAACCCATTATTTTTCTTTTTTCTCTGGTTTGCAAGCCAGGAGGAGCAGGAAGGACCCTGCCTGCTGTAGGTGCTGCCCCCGGGAGCATCTCTGCGTGTCCTTTGTCACCCAGCAGTTCATCTCTTCCACAGACACTGGGTCCCAGCTTGCTGAAATCTGTGCCTGAGAGGTGGTTTTATCCTCAGAAGACTGTAATGCCTTTAGTTGTCTTGGATACGTGACATCATATAGTGTTATAATCAAATCTAGGCCTTTCTCAGGGCTGGGGGAGGATCTCAGCTGACCTCCAGCAGGGGTGGGAGGTGTGCAGGGCATGGGCAGCCTGAGCCAAGGGAGATGAGTGGGGGGAAAGGTTGAATTAGTAGGGGGCAAAATGGTTTGGTGTCATCCTTTTAATGCTCCTGGTCAGGCAGATGGGTGCTTTTTATTGACAGGTTTGCATTAGTCCTGCCAGGGGTTTTTTTGTTTGTTTTTATTGGGTTTTTTGTTGCTCTTCCCTCCAGCATGCAAAGACTTGTAGCTGGTCCTGTGCTATGTGCCCAATGACTTGGAAGTTTATCCTCAGCTTGGATAGGTGAGCAGTGCCAGTCATTTATTTGTCTAGTACTTGGGCTGTTTTGACAACACATATTGATGTATTTGAGTCAGGACAAGCCCTCATGCTTCTTGTAGATGCAAGGGAATATGAAAAAATCAATAAGGAGTTTGCTCTTGGTGTAGTTGTTTGCATGCAAAAGCAGGTACCTATTGTTTTAAATACTCTCACAGAGCCTTTTTGTGTCAGGACAGAAGTGTAAAGCACAACTGCCTGGCTCTGCAACTAAGGGTGCACACCCTGAGCTTGGTGTGCAAAGAGTGGGTGCAGAGCTGCTGTTATTAAGTGTGATACGACTGAAAATATTTTTTCCTGGATTAAAATTATGTTCAACTCCTGAGACTTAGGCAGTGCATAGTAAGTTCTTATTTTTATTTTTAAACGTGGAGGGAAATCACTGCGCTGTTGGCAGGCTCCAGGTCTTCCCACTATTAGCAGAGGTGACCTAGTTGCTTGGCTGGTCCTGCAGAAGTAAAAAGGTGCATTTAGTTGTGGAGAAGGTTGTCCTAACCTGGGGCACTGATGCTGTGCAGGTGCCAAAAGGGCACCTTTCATCTGATGCCACTGTAAAGAAGGATCAAGCAGCAAGAGCAGCTCTGTTCTCATGCTAACTTGGTGTGGACAAGGCTGTGGCACCTTCTGACAAAAAGGCTGAATTCTTTCTTGCTGGTTCAGTGAGTCCAAGTGTGGTGGCCACTGAAGTGATACCTGTACACTTACACCTGCAATGCTGCTGAGTTTGGAGGAAGTCACCTTTGGTGGGATGGTGGTATCTGCCACAGCTTTGTCCTTCTGGCTTGGATTCTGCTGGAGCTGAGACTTCTTCCAAGAAGGGCTGCTGCAAAGTAAACGTGCTTCCCTGCTTTCCTGAGGATCTGCTCAAGTGGACTTCCAGTTTCTTGAAATGGTTGGCCTCTTAATAAAACAACTTTGTCTTCCTTGAGTGCTCACATGCCAAAGCATTTGCTCCTGTGGCAGAATGTAGCAGTGCTGAAGGTCTTCCATCAAAATTCAGTCATGGCTGGGGGTCTTCGTGGGAGCATGGAAACCTGGTTTAACCCAGATGTGCTCTGCTAGGCTGAGGACCTTTCAGTGCTCATAACCTTTTCCAAACAGCTCTCCAGTGAGTTTGAGAGAAGGCTGCAAAAAGTATTACCTTGTCTTGAGGTATGGACTGTGCTCAGATCTGTTTGTGCTTCTCTGGACTGCTGCCTTGGTACATCTGCAGCTGTGATCAGCCCCTTCAGACCTGGGCTCTGCTGCTTGGGTCATGATTGCTCTGGAAGAGCAGGTCTTCCCTGGGCTGTGGCTGCTGGACTGGCATGGATTAGCAGGGAGGTCTGCTCCTGGCTTTTATGTGATGTCAAAAATCTGACTGCTGGAAGAAGGTTGTGTCTCTCACCTCTTTTCTGATGCATCCTAACTTTTATTTGAGCAGCCTCAGTTCACTTGGCAGCCTTTTAATCTTCTTACCCTGGAATCATAGTCCTCTGTCTGTAATTACCATGAGAGATGATGTGCACCTCCATTGTGATACTTTGAGGGGTAAAGGCTTTGTTTGGCCTTCTTTTGAAGGTACCAAACAGGAGATAGATCCTTGAGTTCCTTAGGATTTGGATGCATGAGGCTCTGCTTCCAGTTGGAAGTGTTAGTACCAGTGAACAGCAGTGGGCTCTGTCACTCTGTACTCAGTGGCACATGGGCAGAGCACAAACTCTTCCATGTTTTTCAGAGGTGTGCTTAAATCATATTAATTTTGCATTTGCCTAGCTGAAGGTTGCCTTCTTGGCTCTGCTTACAGGGTTGGGGCTGCCCCCATGGGAATTATCAAAACATCTGCAATGGAGAGCTGCTGCTGTGCTCTTTCCTTCTCACACTTTGCTCTCCTTGCTCTTCCTGTGGTTTTTCTGCTGGGTCATCCCTGAGCACAAAACCCCACCAGCTTACAGCAGAGATGGTTTTGATTCCATGACCCTTACATAAAACATTAAACCCCAGATATTAGAAGTGGTAATCTTGAAAATGGCATCCTGGAAGCTGTGTTCTCACAGTTGTGTCTGCTTATAGGTAATCAGAACACACATGGAGAAAAAAAATGGTGGATTTTGGGTGTCATTAAGGGTCTGTGTGAATGAAGAGGGGTTCTGGAGAGCACACAAGCTGACCACTTGTGTGCCTTCAGATATGCTTCAGTGGCACTGGTGTTGCTCCTGTGTTTTTATTTTTTCTTATTTATTAGTTGATAATAGTCTAATATGGCCTTTATACCTTTCTAGAAAAAATAAATTAATTTCTGATATGTTCATGTAGAAGGTGTGTGAGGTGGTGAACTAGGATAAGAAGGTAATGAGATGTGGATTTCAGTTCTGGAGAGCACACAAGCTGACCACTTGTGTGCCTTCAGATATGCTTCAGTGGCACTGGTGTTGCTCCTGTGTTTTTATTTTTTCTTATTTATTAGTTGATAATAGTCTAATATGGCCTTTATACCTTTCTAGAAAAAATAAATTAATTTCTGATATGTTCATGTAGAAGGCGTGTGAGGTGGTGAACTAGGATCAGAAGGTAATGAGGTGTGGATTTTGTAATGCATCTACTAAGAGAAACATGACATGAACCTATATTATTTACTGTTAGTACGTTACCTGCAAATAATTTGTATTTTCATGTAGGGCATTAGATATGCTAATGGTTCTCTTCTGTAATATAGTAGCATGCAAACAAATAGTGCATTGACACCACAAAGTCTATCTCACTACAAGTTCCAGCTTAATAAGTTGTTCTATTTTTTCCCTTATATTTTTGAGAAGATTGAGTGTGCCCAGGCCATTTTTGTGTTGAAAACAGACTTTATTGCCCCCTTTCCCTCAAGAAAAGAATACAGTGACCTCAGACTTGCATGTGTGTGTCAGCATGTGCATGTTCTTGATCTGCCATGCTGACAGAAGATTTGTAAAGGGAGATTTCGTGCAACATGAACCGGGAGCTAAAATTACCAAAACACGGCTGTGAGGTGTAAGCTCCTGTGTAGCTGCCTAAAGAGCTGCTCAACAAGGGGGCAAAGTTAATCATTAGAAAGGGAACAGAGCAGCTCATCTTGCAGCAGAGTTGGGGTTTGTCTCACTGTGTGAATTTTATCACTGGCTCTTTATTTGGTTATTTTTTTTCTTAATTTAAGAAAGGATTGAAGAAGTGACATGAGCATATGTATATATGGCTGTGTTTAAAGCCAGCCATCGCTGACTGCCAATATGAATCTGCTCTGATGCCTTGGGGGAGAAGTAAATCATAGGGAGAGCAAAGCTATTTTTGACCAGCTATTTGAGCAGCTCACTTTGCTTTAATTTTTTTTTCTTTTTTTAATACTGACTGAGCTGGTAGCTAATCATACCCATCTCTGCACTTAATAGAAATAAGAAACAGAAGGTAAAAAATTTATGGATATTTTCCAGCACTGCCACTGGTAAGCATAAATTCAGGTGCTATTGTCAACACAGCTTTGCAATAGCTGCTGCAAGAGCGTGTGAGCAGATGAAGAGAGGAACAAAAATTGCTGGTGGGAAACACGGTGTGTTTCCTGGGGGAGGCACAAATTCTGCACCTCATGACTGCCTGGCACCAGGCAGGGGCTGGCAGGGCTGGGGAGCATAACATGGATTATCCTGTTGCCTTTGTGTGTCACCACGTCATTCCTCCATTGCACCTATCGCTCCCCTTCTCCAAAATGAGGAGGGTGGGCAGTGTTCTTCCAGGGACACGTGAGGCTGCCAGGCTCTAGAGCTGGCTGGCTCTGGGGGTGGCACAGCCAGGCAGTGGACCCTGGGTAGGAGGAGATGCAGGAGCAAGGAGACAAGTGTTTACTGCAAACTGGTGTAAGAAGACATGCAGTAACTGTGTAGAGCTGTCTGGTGAGATGTGATATGGAAACTGTCCTCATCTTGAGCTCTGGCACTGGGAGCTGGAGCATGAAACCAGAGTGATAGTGCTTACAGGGACAGGGAATTGGAATGGGGTTTGGGTTTTTCTTTGGTTGTTTTGTTGGATCTTTTTACAGTTAATACGAACCTCAGCTTTGCTCTGTGCTATTTACAACTGTGAGCTGCATCCATAGTTGCAGTGTCTTATGTCTGTAGGGTGCATGTGTGTGTACAAGTACACCCCCTACATCTGTACAGTGCTAACATCAGCAGGAAGAAAACAGCTGTTCCCGAAACACAGTTTGCTAGAAGACCCCTTTTGAAATTCTACAAGCAGGGTAGGTGTCTGTTGGTGTACTGCCTCTGAAGCATGGGTAGCCTGTTAGACCTTGCAATGGCAGTGTTTTATAGATAATAATGTTATGATTAGGGTTTTAGTGTTTTGTTGTTTTGGGATTTTTTTTGTCTAAGTGGTGAGCCATTGCTCCTGCAGGTCTGAGCTGCCACCCCAGTGGCTGGTCCTTTCCTGTTGAGAATTGGTCCCAGCACCCTCTGCTCTGCAGGGAAGCCCAGGTTAGGGCAACAAGCTCTTGCAGGAAGGGAAAAAGATCTTGTGGACCCAGGCAGCTCTGTGGGACACACTTGATGAACAGATGGGCTGGCCAGATCTTCCCCTGGTAGAAACAGGCAGCAGCACTTGGGAATGACTGTGACTTGTAGGGGGTTATAAAGATTTCATTTGCACTGAGTGCACAAATAGACTTTATGCTGATTTAAGTTTTGCAATTCCTTTTTCACTCTTTGGACAGCAAAGGCAAACACTTCTAAACAGGGTCAGTTTACAATATAATGAGTAACTTAAGAGTTAATGTGAGATCTGAATGGATTAGATCCTACCTGTTAAGGTTTTTTCCAGGTTTCAGGTGTTCACATGAAAATAGCTATTATTTCTGTGTCTGAATTGGTGTTTCTAGATAGATACAGCAGTTTTGAAGTGCTACCCATAAGCTCTGCTTATAAACCAAGGGGAGTTTATGCTCATGAGTTTACTGGGAGACTGCTGTTGGACCCTGGCTCTCACCAGTGGCTTCAGTGTTTGTGCTCAGCATGGGGATGGTGCAGCCCCGTGCTTGGGTTTGGTGGGCTCCTGCTGAACGTGGCTGTGGTAGTTTGCAATGATTTCTGACCATCTCCTTTGTTGCAGACCAGTCAAGCTAAATGGGTCCAGTCACTGGAATGACTCCGGATAAGAAAGCTGAAACGCCGGGAGCAGAAAAAGCCGCGGGACTACGGCAGTGCCATGGGATGGGCAGCCTGCCCGACACGGGCGACGCTGGCAAGCCAAAGGCCACCGTGGTGGACAGAGATTCAGCAGATGATGAGCTCACAAATTTGAACTGGCTGCACGAAAGTACTAACCTGCTAACAAACTTCAGCCTCGGCAGCGAGGGCCTTCCAATTGTTAGCCCCTTGTATGACATCGAGGGTGACAGTGTGCCATCCTTCTCACCATCCTGCTACCAGAACCCTGAGAAAAAATCCTCCACTTCCAAACCCCCTTACTCTTTCAGCCTTCTCATTTACATGGCGATTGAGCAGTCCCCCAACAAGAGCTTGCCAGTCAAAGAAATCTACAGCTGGATCCTGGAGCGCTTCCCCTACTTCGCCACGGCCCCCACCGGCTGGAAGAACTCGGTCAGACACAACCTCTCCTTGAACAAGTGTTTCCGAAAGGTGGAGAAAAGCCATGGCAAGGTGAGACCTGGTAGGAGGGAGGTGGAGCAAGTTGGAAATTCAGGGAGAAATGGAGACAGTTCTGTTGTTCTTAAGCATGTTTTGTTTGGGTTGTTTTCACCCCACCGTATCCTCTTAACACTTTATTTGCAGATGGAGGTGGTTTCGAAATGCTGCTTCTGTGAAATCACAGGATGACAAAAGTCACTGGGTTTTATTATTTATTGTTCACCTAGGTACACCCAGCTGTAGTGCATCCTTTTAAAATCTGGCACACATGGAATTGCAAAGGACTCTTGTTTCCATTTACTTAAAATTTTGTTAGCCTGCAATAACCAGCCTGAAATTTCAGATAACTCTCCTAGGATTTCTTCTTGATGAAGCCTCTTAAACTAGTGCTTTCTCTATTTTCCAGTGCTGAAATTCTGGGGTATCTTCCTCCTTCCCTGCTTTTCCAGCATGGCCATGGTTCCAGTTGCACTGGCAAGCAGAGGAGATTATGGGATGCCAACCAGCTTCCCTGCTTCCTGGCAGGAATGTTGCCCCTCTGGGTGCAGATCTCTGACACCCCTGCAAGATGCCCTTGCTTGTGGGCACGCTGGATGTACATGGTTGAGTGTTCCTCAGTCCAACAGCTTTCTCAAATATTAAATTGACTCTTCCACTTGTGATCTTCTGTTACACTTAGCACAGCTCTAGTTTTCCAGTAACTGTATTAATTCCTGCATTTAATGGACTGTAATGCTTTAACATCCGTCATAAGATAAGATGTGCGTCTCTGTGTGGTGCAGACTCACTTCTTAAAGTCAAGGATACTCTTTTCTGTACAAGTTCTTTCTTCTGATTGATAGGATTTTACTAGTGACTTTCTTCCTCCC